AAAAATTCATGAGAACACTGACTTGGGAAGTCAGGCTGCTTGACACTTGGGTCCCCCGCTTACTAACTCTATGAACATTGGACAAGTTTTTGTCTCCCTAAGTCAGTGAATCTCAGACATTTCAGTCTCAGATTTCTTTATACTCTAAAAATGGAGGGCCCCGAAGAGCTTTTATTTTCATTATTTATGTTAACCTGTGGTTGATTTTTCTCACTTTAAATGAATATTTTTTAAATAACTTTTTTGTGAAAAAAATATTTTTTCAAAATAATCATTGAGTGAGAAGAGCAGCATTGTTTTACATTTTTGCAAATCTCACACCCAGCTTAACAGGAAAGGAGCTGATTTCTCATATCTGCTTCTGCATTCTGCATTCTCATATTGTTTTGGTTAAACTATGTGAAGAAAATCTGGCCTCACATTGATATGTAGTTGAAAAAGAGAGGGGTATTTTTTTTTTAATGTTTTATTTATTTTTGAGACAGAGAGAGACAGCGCATGAGTGGGGTTGGGGCAGAGAGAGAGGGAGACACAGAATCTGAAGCAGGCTCCAGGCTCTGAGCTGTCAGCACAGAGCCCGACACGGGGCTCGAACTCACAAACCGTGAGATCATGACCTGAGCCCAAGTCGGTCACTCAACCAACTGAGTCACCCAGGCGCCCCAAGAGAGGGGTATTTTAATGATCATTTTAGATGTTCTTCTTTGTTACAAATACCAAAATTCAGCGGATGGTAGTTTCTTAAAGGCTAGTTGCAACTTGAAATCTGATACCATATTAATGAACTTTTTGTACTGTGTTACATTAAAATCCACTGGTCTTTGACTCTTGCCCTTTGGATCACTTATTCATGTGTGATCTTGTAACATCTGGCACGGATCATTTAGAAAATACCGCTTCACTGACTTATGCAGATCTTTCAAATGTTTACACATTTTGTTATATACCGTTAAAAATAACATTTTCATCAATATCCCCACTGATCTCATCAGAAGAGTCTTTGAGTACTGGAAAGCTGTCAAGCCCACGGTACTAGATACAAGTGTTCGAAAAGTCATTGAAAAGCTCAAATTTTACCCTTGGTAACAAAAACTTGTTTCATGAAGTGACAGTCTCAGCTCGTATTTCAAGAAAACCAAGTCTGAACAACCTTAGTTTGTCAGTCACCCTTTGGTATTTTACAAGAAATGCAGTTAGCTCAGCTCAAACTAAAAGCAATGTTTTTCCTGGAGACAACCATCATAATATCAGTATGGAGTTCTTTACCCGTGCCTTCCACTGTTGCACAGAATATTGAAAAGATGTAGGAGCGCCTGGGTGGTTCAGTCGGTTAAGCGTCCGACTTCGGCTCAGGTCATGATCTCGCGGTCCGTGAGTTCGAGCCCCGTGTCGGGCTCTGTGCTGACGGCTCAGAGCCTGAAGCCTGTTTCAGATTCTGTGTCTCCCTCTCTCTGACCCTCCCCTGTTCATGCTCTGTCTCTCCCTGTCTCAAAAATAAATAAAAAAACATTAAAAAAAATTTTTTTTTAAAAAGATGTATACTCAAGGGTCAAGGTCTAATAAAAAGAATAATTTTTACCGCTTTATCAAGGACATTCTCAAGTGAGATTTTTTGTTTTGTTTTGTTCACCGTGAGCATATGGCAGGGAAAAGCACATTAACTACCAATACCATTTAGTGCCACAGCCTAGATTCACACCAAGGCGCCAGGAGCTTTACCCACCATTGCTTTGCAAAATGTCAAGTGATTTTCGTTCCTGTTTCAGGATTATTAAGAAAATCGTTTTGGGGAGCCTCAGTGGCTCAGTCGGTTGGGCGTCTGACTTCGGCTCAGGTCATGATCTCGAGGCTTGTGAGTTCGAGCCCTGCATTGGGTTCTGTGCTGACAGCTCAGAGCCTGTAGCTGCTTCAGATTCTGTGTCTCCTTCTCTCTCTGCCCCTCCCCTGCTCATGCTCTATCTCTCTCTGTCTCTCAAAAATAAATAAAAAGAAAGGAAGGAAAGAAAGAAGAAAGAAAAAGAAAAAGGAAATCGTTTTAAGCCTGAAAGGGTCTCAGGAACTCCAGGGGTCCGTGGACCAGACTTTGAGAACTGCTGACCTTAAGCCTACAGTCACCATGCCATCGGGTTGTATGGGGGATTAAGTGAAAGAGTAAAGTGCAAGGAACAATTCCTGACACACAGAAAGGACTAAATAAATGTTAATTGTTATTATTACTGTTATTTTAAATGGAAAGGTGTATAACTGGAAGGGAGAAAGCCTAGAGAGAGAGAGGAGAGATCTAACTTTTATTTAACACTTTTTACGTGCCATTCCCTATTCTAGTTATCTTATGTGTTGCATTTAATTCACAAAGCAACCCAGAGAGGAAGTAAATACTCCATTATACAGTTAAGGAAATGGGTCACTCAAGGTCACAGAGCTTAAATAAATAAATAGTCCCAGAATTCTCAGTCACTTGATCCTGCTCCTTGGGCACAGGATAGCTCAGGGGGGGCTAGAAGGGAAATCTATACTCTATCCCGAGGGGAGAAGTACAGCTGCCTGGAATCAAGAACCAACCCCTCTGACTTCAGGTGCTCATCTGAGAAGCGTATTTTCATTTACTATTTTTTTAATGTTTATTTATTTTTGAGACAGAGATGGACAGAGCACAAGCAGGGGAGGGGCAGAGAGAGAGAGAGAGAGGGAGACACCGAATCCGAAGCAGGCTCCAGGCTCCGACCTGTCAGCGCAGAGCCTGGCTCGAACTCACAAATTCCGAGATCATGACCTGAGCCGAAGTCGGGTGCTTAAGCAACTGAGCCACCCAGGCGCCCTAAGAAGCATGTTTTTAAAGTCTTGGACTTTCCACTTGTTCCTGAGAGCTGTTCTATGTTAAAACATTTTATTTATTTTTTTTATTAATTTTATTTTACTTTAGAACAATGTCCTATTTTAGCTATTCTACTTTAAAATTTGTATTCCTAACTGAGGAAGGCCTGCATGATTAGCATTAGCAGCTTGAGTCCCCGGAACCAGTGTAGAAGGGCAGCCATCCCTCCACGTGGTTGGAAGGAAGCACACATCACCTCTGTGAAATCTAGAGGCTTCCCATTGACCTATAACTATCCTTGTGTCACTAGCCTAAACTTGAGTTTGAGACAATGAAGTATGAATTATTATTGTCTTAAGCGAAGCACAATTTACATATTCAAATGGGTACTTTCCTCCTCCAAACAGCCCCTTTTGGACAGGTGGGGGGTCTGCCTATTTATTTTAACTCTGCTGCTATGGCTCAAAATGGACACAGAAATCCTCTTTCAGACTGCATCTTGTTTTGAATGTAGTTGAAAATTTTAGAAAAAGCCAGAAGTCATTGGAGACCAAATCTGATAAATAACGTGGCTCCAGGAAAAAACCATCATTGGCTAATCTTCAATAGTAGATTTTTGGGACTAGATTTGGTTGGTTCAGAATACAAGTATTTTTTGAGCACCTGCTATGTCTAGGCACTGTGCTACGTGCTGGCCTCTAAGAGCGTATGTGAAGACAGTTCTCAAACTGGATTTCCTAAAATATTCTGATGAAGCGTAGCATCTCTGAAATAAGGGTGTAGGACCAAGGACATCATGCATTTGTACGGGTATATAGATGCATATTTGTAAGGTTCTTACTACATTATAGTAATCTTGTATCTAATTTGCTAGAATGCACAACAAAATCAATTCACCTGCAAAGCAAACGTTTCTGAGTGCCGGGCACTGTGGCAAACAGCAGAAATAAAAACATGCGAACTGAAGGAGCCTAAAATCTGGTGGCACACAGACATATTCATCTACCCGTGAAAAAATAGAAATGATCTAACAGATACGAATGGAGAGCAGGAGGGACGAGGAAGGCGCGACCTGCTCCTTCAAAGCCAGGTCCTGGCAGTGTGATTCACCAGATGGTTCTTTTTAAAATCTAATTTTAGACTTCCTACCTATTTACCAAATACATTGTTCTGCAAACCAAGAAATTAGATCGGAGGTAAAAGGTTCTCTGGCGCCAGAGTTGGGGAAGGGGCCAAGCCAGCCAACAATCCTTTGGAATACTGCTTGGAGGTTAGAGGGCCCAGAGGCCGTGCTGGGGAGTCACTGCCTTCGGGCCTAAATTCTTTGTGAGGGGCAACTTTAAGGTTCCATACAATATTCTTTATTTGTATTCAATTTGGATTTTAGAATATGAAGTGTGGGGTGCCTGGGTGGTTCGGTCAGTTAAGTGTCCAACCCTTGACTTCAGCTCAGGTCATGATCTCACGATTCTGGAGTTCGAGCCCCAGGTTGGGCTTTGCACTAACAGCCCGGAGCCTGCTTGGGATTCTGTCTCTCCCTCTCTCTGCCCCTCCCCTGCTGGTACTCACTCTCTCTCTCTCTCTCTCTCTCTCTCTCAGTAAATATATAAACTTAAAAAATATATGAAGTGGCATCTGAATATCTAGAGGTTAGTATTTTATAGTTGAGGAAAAAACCAGATGGGAACCAGGTGACGCCTTCAAGCTGCCAATGTGTCTAATCTCTAACTGAAGCAAAAGGCAGAAGCTTTGACTGTCGAAATATAGAATTTTAAGTTACAAAATCCTGTATACATTCACACTGGGCACCATGATTGTCCTGTGATTAGCTCTGCTCTACTGAACCAATCTGCAAGTTTAAGAAATGCTTTAATAAGCACCCTCCACGCCCCCTCACCCCCGCGCCCTAGAGTAATAAGGATCAGGCCAAGGTGGAGACTATACCAATGCTAAAGGGTTTCACCCCACTCCAAGGGATTGACCTTAGTACACAACATCACCCAGCCGGTAACAGGGCTGGAACTCAAACCCAACCCAACTTTATCTTGGAAAGAATTCTGTTCTATATGACACAGCTATTGTCCCCAAGGGATTCGGAACCCTGAGTAAAGAGGAAGAAGTGAAGGCCACTGGCCCTATCGTGGGTTGCTCTGGTTCAAGGCACACGTATCTAGCACACAGGAGACATAGGGACAAAGAAAGATTTAGTGAGGATAAGGCAAGGCTTGGCCCGATATGCTGGCACAAACCCCACAGAGGCCAGTGGGAGTGGGTGAAGCTGTTCACTTTCTTTGGTGCTGTAGCCTGAAGCATGCTGCCTTGCCCCACAGAGCATCTGGAAAGAAGATGTAGGACAGCGACCACATCAGGCAGTAAAAAGCAGTTAGGGAGAATGGAGACACAAGCAGCATGATGACACCTGGAGGGAGAAAAAAGGCAAACATTCCATGTCTATGAAGCTCTCTGCGTGTATTTCCCGCCCTCTTCCCTCCCATCCCCATCCTCCCTTCCTTCAGTTTTTACTCATCGGCCTAAGAAACAAGAACCAACGAGACCCGAGCCCTGCCTTCAAGAGGTTTTGTCTCTTTGTAACTAGATAATTATAATGTAATGCAAACTCAGGTTCCATTTGGTTGAATTCAGATCAGAAATCAGTCTTAGCCGAGAATAAATTTGAGTTGTCCAGACCCCTTGTTAGAAATATATGTATATATCTCCATCCATCCCAGGGGCGCCTGGGTGGCTCAGTCAGTTAAGCGTCCGACTCTTGATTTTGGCTCAGGTCATGATCTCAGGGTTCGTGGGATCGAGTCCTGTGTGAGGCTCTGTGATGCCAGCATGGAGCCTGCTTGAGACTCTCTCTCCCTCTCTCTCTGCCTCTTCCCTACTTGTACTCTCTCCTCCCCCCTTCCAAAAATAAATAAATAAACATTAAAAAGAAAAAAATATATATATATATGAATGACATATATATTCCCAATTGTGTCAAGTTTAATATGTGATAGTGGCCAATACAATGTTACACATAATGCAGAAGAGCACAGCAGACCTGGGACAGCTCTCTTTAGAAAGGCCTGCTTGCAAGGTGCCTGGGTTTGTGAGTTCAAGCCCTGCATTGGGCTCCATGCAGACAGTATGGAGCCTTCTTGCGATTCTCTTTCTCCGTCTCTCTCTGCCCCTCCCCTGGTCACTCTGTCTCTCAATATAAATAAAAAAGAAAGGAACGAACGAACGAACGAATGAACGAAGGCCGGCCTGCTTGCCAGGTTGGCCTTTAACTGGAGTCCAGGAACATGGCTAGTAAACAGTTCCCTATATCAATATAGAACTTTCTTGGGGCGCCTGGGTGGCTCAGTCAGTTAAGCATCCAACTTCGGCTCAGGTCATGATCTCGCGGCCCGTGAGTTCGAGCCCCACGTCAGGCTCTGGGCTGATGGCTCAGAGCCTGGAGCCTGTTTCCGATTCTGTGTCTCCCTCTCTCTCTGCCCCTCCCCCTTCATGCTCTGTCTCTCTCTGTCTCAAAAATAAATAAACATTAAAAAAAGAGTCTATTTCTAATATAGAACTTTCCCTAATGGGCAAGAATGGTTTCCTGTCCTTAGACTGTGCTGAGTGTTGATTTCCTTCTGTGTAAGTCTAGAATTTTGGTACCACTAGGTCTAGGGTGCTAATGTGGCCAGCCCTTATAAAAACCTTGGACCCTGAGTCTCTAAAGAGCTTCCAGGTACACAAGACTTTCATGGGTGTTGTCACAGTTTTGTGCAGGGTGGCCCCACAGGGAGGACACTTGAGGGGCTGTGCCTCATTTCCTCCAGATTTTGCCCCTTTCATCTGCCCTTTGCTGCCTTTGCTTTGTGTCTTTTGCTGTAATAAGGCTTAACCATGAGTATGACTATATGCATCCTGTGAATCCCCAAGAGAACCACTGAACCTGGGGTGGTCTTGGGGGACCCCCAACACATTTGAATCTGAGATACACCACCGACAGGCAAAAGGGCCCCAACACTTGTGGAATATCTACTTTGCACCAATCTGCTAGGTATGTTACAAAGATCGCTCCATTTACGTTTCACAATAATTCTGTGACTCAGAATCCAGTCTGTTTTTCAGATGAAGAGACAGAGGGGATATAACCTGTACAAGGTCTTGATTCAAAGCCGTGTCTGCCTGACTTGTAAAAACTAGACAGCCTCGGAAAGCTCAAAGAGGGTTGGAGAGTACGAGGCAACATCGTTTCCGTGGGGATAACTACCATACATTCCTCAAGAGAAATCAGAACATATGATCTGACAGAAGACCACTTTCAGTTACAGAGATGTATTGGAGCTTTGGAATGCTTAATATTTCAGGACAGTCATTGATCTGTTGAGGCAATGGGACAATATTTTAAACCAGAGTTGTCCTGGAAAATGCGTGACATGAGGTCTCACAGCCACAGGCCGGCTTTTCAGAAGCTCTGTGGGGGAGACGGAACCTCCGTCTAAAAAGGTGATTGGCTGCACTCCAGGTAAGAGGAATATCAAGAGTGGCCATTTTGGAATCTGTCCAGTTGGGCTCTGGTATTAAGTGGTATCAAAATCTGTGAGGTACAGCTTCCTCCTTTACTCTCACAGCCAAGACAATCCAAGGAAGGCTGAGGCCAAGCATATGGTTTATTGGGAGAAAAGGGGAGCCGTGGTATCTACAGGAGCAAAGAGCATTGTGGGAAACACTGTTGCTGAGAGATAGGAGGGCAGGTGGAGGGAAGAAGGGACTAGAAATTTCCCTACAGGACACATCTGTGCCAGAGGATTGATCTGCATCATCCCATTTAATCTCAAGAATCCTGAGGTAGGAATTATTGGCTTCATTTTATAGATGAAGAAAACTAAACTCAAAATAATGAGGTCGTCAGCCCAAGTTGATGCAATTAACGCGTCCTGGCATTGGAACTTGAACTCAGGTCTGTTTAGCAGCAAACCCAGATGCTTCTCAACACTGTTCTGCCTCTGCTAGCTGGGCCACAGAGGAGCCACTGCCTAGAACTTGAGCAGGGGCGTCGGTGCTGGTGGTACAGAGAAAGGGTATGAGCCTAAAAGGGAAGGTCAGGGGGCACCTGTGTGGCTCAGTCGGTTAAGCATCCGACTTCAGCCCAGGTCATGATCTCACGGTTCATGAGTTTGAGCCCCTGTCTGTGCTGACAGCTCAGAGCCTGGATCCTGCTTCAGATCCTGATGTCTCCCTCTCTCTCTAACCCTCCCCTGCTTGCACTCTGTCTCTCTCTCTCTTTCTCAATAATAAATAATAAACATTAGGGGCGCCTGGGTGGCGCAGTCGGTTAAGCGTCCGACTTCAGCCAGGTCACGATCTTGCGGTCCGTGAGTTCGAGCCCTGCGTCAGGCTCTGGGCTGATGGCTCAGAGCCTGGAGTCTGTTTCCGATTCTGTGTCTCCCTCTCTCTCTGCCCCTCCCCCGTTCATGCTCTGTCTCTCTCTGTCCCAAAAATAAATAAAAGTTGAAAAAAAAATTTTTAAATAAATAATAAACATTAAAAATTAAAAGAAAAAAGGACAGTCAGGATGAAAGCAGGGACCCTATGAACCAGACTGGACCCACAGGGAATAAAGAAAGAAACCAAGTATCCCTGTAGATGTTTGTCTTGTCCCCATGAGCACATCCCAAAAGAAGAAACACGGGTATTCCTTGAAGGAAGCCCTAAGTCAGGGAGAACTCTAGGGAGATATCCGCCAGGTCCCCAGTGTGGCCAGGACCTCAGGGCTTCCTCAATATCGGTTCTGTTCCCAACATGCATCTGAAGTCCCTTCATCTGCTCTGTTGCCACCACCTCTCATACGACAGCAAGTCACTTTTCCTCTTTGTTCTCAGTCTCCCGCCATCTGGTCCCCACACTGTAGTCCAAGTGGCCACTTAAAACCGCTGCTCAGAAGTCCCTTCAGAGGCTTCCCCTTTGCCGCTAGGATCAGTTCCCCCAAACCCACCCCCTTCACGGACTCAGTATGTATCACTAGGATCTCTCAGCAAGTTCCAGCCACACGGCTGCACGACCGCACCCAGCACCTTCTAGCCTAGAGCCTAGAAAATGCTGTTTTCTCTTCTGAACTACCTCTCTTACCCACCTAGCCAGTCATCTTGAAGGTCACCATTTTTATTTTTTCCAGTTTTATTGAGATATTATGGACATATAACACAAAACTGTATTAGTCCAAGGTGTACAGCATAATTATTCGATATTTGTGTATCCTGTGACACGACCAGCAGTCTCGTTAGTGTCTGCCACTGCACAGTTACCCATTTCCTTTTCTTGCGACGAGAACTCTTAAGATCTGCTCTCCTATCTACTTCCAAATACAATATTCTTTTTTTTTTAATGTTTATTTATTTTTGAGAGAGACAGAGACAGACAGACAGACAGCACAAGTGGGGGAGGGGCAGAGAGAGAGAGGGAGACACAGAATCCAAAGCAGGCCCCAGGCTCCAAGCTGTCAGCACAGAGCCCGATGCGGGGCTCGAACCCACGGACCATGAGATCATGACCTGAGCCGAAGTTTGAAGCTCGACCGACTGAGCCACCCAGGTGCCCCTCTTTTTTTTTAGAGAGGGCACAAGTGAGCGAGGGGTAGAGACAGAGAGAATCCCACAAGGGGCAGAGAGAAAGAGAGAGCGAAGTGGGACTCACCCAAAGCAGGGTTCATGCTCACCCGAGGCAGGGCTTGAACCACAAACTGTGAGATCGCGACCTGAGCCAAAGTCAGACACTTAACCGAATGAGCCACCCAGGCTCCCCACAACATGGTATTGTTAACTGTAGTCACCGTGTTGTCCATTACGTCCCCAGAACTTATAATTGGAAGTCTGTACCTTTGACCACCTTCCCCCAGGTTCCATTTAAATGTTACCTTCTGAAGCATCCTTTCCACCCTTCAGACCATTTCAGTCTCATTAAGTCCCCTTCTCAGAGCACCCTGTGCTCCACGACGCATCAAAACTATGCCTTTCTAGTGTCCAACTCTTGGTTTCAGCTCAGGTCATGATCTCACAGTTCATGGGCTTGAGCCCCGCGTCGGGCTCCGCTCTGTTAGCATGGAACCTGCTGGATTCTCTCTCTGCCTCTCTCCCTCTCTGTCATTATAAATAAATAAACTTAAAAAAAAACAACAACTATGCATTTCTAGTTATTTCTGCCACTATTTGGTTGGGGTCTGTCTCCCCTATTAGACTGTGAATCCTGAGGCAGGAAGGGTTTGTCTAGTTTATCAGTTTGGTTCCCAGTATCCAGCATATGGTAGGTGTTCCTGATTGAACTTAACAGCATTCAACAAATACTTACTGAGCATCTACCACGTGGTTGGCACAATGCTAGGCCCAGGGATTACTGCACGAATGAAAGAGAGTCCTCTATCTGGGGGCAGTTTTAGTGTGTATAGACAATAAAAAAGTAGATACATTTCAGATGGTGATAAACTCCATGGACACAAATAAAACAGGGTAAGGGAGATCGGGAGTGTGGGGGCGAGGTACAGGGTGGCCATGAGCAGCAGTGATAATAGACCAGCACTGGTGCCATTTGAAAGCAGTATTTTCACTCACCCCCCAGATAAATCAATTTTTTCCAGTTCTCAGACCCCAGGATCTCATCACGTGGATAGTAGCTCTGGTCCATCATGAACAGAATCATAAGTGAGGCCATGCAAGACAGAATGAACGTGTTGCCTTTGGTCAGAAGGCAGGTGGAGGCCAAAACACAGGAAGCATAGCGGCAGGGTAGACCCTTGTATGTGAAGGGAACACCTGCCAGGGAAGGAAGAGGTGGAGATTAGCTGCCTCCCGCTGAGCAAAGCCAGCCCGTTGGGTCTTCCCTGCCACCCACTCCAGATCCCCCTCCTCGCCAGGCAATGGCAGGCTGTAAAGCGGTCAGCCGTTCGCAGAGATGGTGTGTGGGTTCTGTGCTGAATCCCCACGGGGAAGCAGGTGGCTGGGACAAGGCATGGGCCCCAGCACCAAGGAAGTCTCTGCAGGAGGGTCCTCTGAGGTCTTCCAGTCCACCTCTACGCCCCCTTGCATTGTGACCTTGGGCAAGGCAACTGCCCTTGGTTGCCTTGCTCAGTTTCTCCATCTGTTGTAGAAAACTGTGGAGGATGACCCCTAGTTCTGGATTCTGTGAGTCTCTGTGCACCACCCAAAGGTCATACAACGAGAAAAAGGCACAGCTGGTCCGAGAACCATGGGCCCCTGCCCCTCTCCAGGTCTCTGTCAGTGCAGCCTGCAGCCTCCAGTGGGCCTGGGGCACAGGACAAGGAAGGGAAAGGAACCAAAGAGGAGGGGAGGAGTCAGTTACCCCCCCCCCCCAAGGCTTCTGGCATCCAACAGCGCCCCTCCGTGGCTCCCCACCCTTAGCTACAAGGCTGGGGTCCACTCACCGGTTGAATAAAAACACAGGCGGAAGGTAGCAGCTAACACATAGATGACGGCCAGGAACGCATTCAGAGGCCCATCCACGCCTAGGAGCAGGGCTGAGGCCAGGCCAAAGGTGGTGAAGACAGCAAAGTCATTCAGCTCCACCCCTGCTCCAGGAGGTCGACGAGGTCAGAACTTATGCTCATTTGTCTTGCACTTTAGTCCCCTGTGGTGGGGGAGCTGCAGGGGTGCCAAGCCGGGACTGAGGTCCCAGAGAGCAACAGCTGCTCCCCTAGGGATCAAGGATGGGGGGGGGGGGGGGGGGGGGGGGGCCTCCTGGCTCTGCCTCACATGGACCATGCGGCCTGAGGCAAATCTTTCCTTCTCAGGTCTTAGTTTTCCCGCCCTTTAACATCCAGGGTTGGACCACAACTGGATACAAATTCACAAGCCACAGAACCCTTTTTTTTTCAAGCAAACTCTTACATGGAAATATTTTCTTGTATTTTAAACCAGCCGCTCTGCTGGGGGGATTTTTCATTTCCCCCCTCCCAAGCACCGCAGCCACCACCCACTCCCAATTCCTGGGGCACCCCTAGCGGGGAGGCAGCACCGCCAAGGAAACTGCGGCCTGGGCAAGGATGGCTAAGGAGCAACAGGTGAGCCCGCGGGGGGCCTAGATCTGAACTATGGGGCTCCGGGATGGTTCTCCGGCTGCTTCTGCTGTCCTTGGAGGGAGGTGAGCAGGCGTGCTGACTCCTGAAAGCTTGCTGGATGTGAGAAGATGGAGGGAGACCTGAGATGGGCTCCTGGAGTCAGGGATCAGGGGTCTGAGGCCTGGACTCACCCGATCTGGAGCAGAGGCTGAGGTGTCTGGTTATCGTCCCAACTGCCATGTCTAATAGGAAGCTGATCAGAAGCATCCAGGAGGCACTGTAGCATTTCCTGAAGTGTAGGGCAGCAGGCCCCGACAGGACAGCTGTGTCATGGGCTGCACTGGGCAACCCCTACACACACACACACACACCCTGCCCTGCATGTTCCCCACACTCGTGTTCTTTCTGAAATACACTGCTTTACACACACACACACACACACACACACCCCTGCCATACTCTAAACCCACAGTCTTAAAGGGGGTGCCTCGAGCCCCTTAGATAATCACTAAGGTCCCTTCCAACTCTAAATCCCAGGCATATTTGAGGGCACAGGGGTCCTATGTTCCCAGCCTCTGCAACCATCTCACTGTGGTTTCTCAGATAAACCACTCCCTACCCCTCTAGGCCTCTCTTCCTCCATCTGGAAAGTGAGGGGGTTGTGTCAAATGATTTAATAGAGGCCTATTCAGATAAGCTATTTCTCCTAGTGCAAGTTTAGGTAACTCATGACTTTTAAGGAATTGGTCCCTTTCATTTAGGCTACGTCACTTACAGAGTTGTTCATAATATTCCTTTATTATCCTTTTAAAGTCCACGAGATCAGTAGTGATGGCTCTCTTGCATTTCCGATACTGGTAGTTTGTGTCTTCTCTTTTTTTCTTTATTTTCTTGGTTGGCCTGCCTAGAGGCTTATCAATTTTATTGATTTTTCCAAAGAATCAATCAGCTTTGGGTTTTGTTGATTGTCTCTACTGATTTCTTATTTTTAATTTCATTGATGGCTGCTTTTTTTTTTTAATATTTATTTAGTTTGGGGAGAGCACAAGCAGGGGAGGGGCAGAGAGGGGAGACAGAAGATCAGAAGCGGGCTCTGTGTGGACAGGCTGGCACTGTGGCCCAATGTGGGGCTTGAACTCACGAACTTCGAGATCGTGACGTGAGCCAAAGTTGGACGCTCAACTAACTGAGCCACCCAGGTGGCCCCCCACCCCCCCTTTTTTAAGTAGGCTTTGCACCCAGAGCGTGGAGCCCAAATGCGGACCTTGAACCCACGACCTTGAAATCAAGACCTGACTTGAGGTCAAGAATCAGATGCTGAACCGATTGAACCACCCAGGTGTCCCTCTCATTTTTATTATTTTCTTCTGCTTACTTTGGATTTAACATGCTTTTTTTTTTTTTTCCCTAGTTTGCTAAGGTGGAAGCCTTATACTATTGATTTCTATCTCCCTTTTTTTCCCAATTTTTCTAAGGCTTTATTTTTCTGGGGAGGTTTTAGGTTTACAACAAAATTGAAAGGAAGCTACAGAAATTTCCCATCTACCCCCCCCCATCTCCCACCTATGCATAGCTTCCCACATGATCAATATCACTCACCAGAACAGTACATTCTAATTCTTGACACATACCAAGGATGAACCTATGTTGACACATAGTCACCCAAAGTCCATAGTTTACCTTAGGGTTCACTCTTGGTGTTGTACATTCTATGGTTTTGGACAAACGTATGATTAGTATCCATTATTATAGTATCATGAAGATTATTTCCAATGTCCTAAATATCCTCTGTGCTCCACCTATTCATTCCCCCCACCCTCCTGTACCAGTCACTGATTTTTTATTATCTTGATATTTTTGCCTTTCCAGAATATCATATCACTGTAATCATATAGTATGTAGCCTTTGCATATTGGCTTCTTTCACTTAGTAATATGCACTTATGATTCCTCTGTGTCTTCTCATGGTCTGATAGGTCATTTCTTTTTAGCACTGAGCAATCCTCCATTGTTTGGAAAATTTGGAAATACCTCAGTTTATTCATCTATTCACTTATTAGATGATATCTTGGTTGCTTGCGAGTTTTGGCAATTGTAAATTAAACATCATAAACATCCAAGTGCAGGGTTTTGTGTGGACATAGTTTTCAGTTCATTTGGATAAATACCAAACAGTGTGATTGCTGGATCATATGGTAAGACTAGGTGTAGCTTTGTGAAATTGCCAAACTGTCTCCCAAAGCGGCTGAACCATCTTGTGTTCCTGCCAGCGGTGAATGAGAGTTCCTGTTGCTCCACGTCCTCGCCAGCATTTGATGTCGTCAGTGTTCTGGGCAACTCCTTTGGCCGGTAGGTGTGTAGTAATATCTCACTACATCTCCCTGATAATATACAATGTGGAGTATCTTCACATGCTTACTGCCATCTGTACATCTCCTTCGATGAGGTCTCTGTTAAGGTCTTTGGCCCATTTTTTAATTGAGTTCTTTGGTTTCTTATTGAAGAATTTTAAGCTTTGTCTATTTTACAGTCCTTTCTCAGATGTACCTTTTGCAAATATTTTCTCCCAGCCTATAGCTTGTCTTCTAATTCTCCTGATGTTGTCTTTCACAGAGGTTTCTTTTCTAATACACACATTCAATGTTACAAATTTCACTATAACTACCACTTTCACTGCATCTCACAAATTTTGATAAGTTGGGTTTTAAAAAATTTTTTTTAACATTTATTCATTTATGAGAGACAGAGAGTACAAGCAAGGGAGGGGCAGAGAGGGAGACACAGAACTAAAGCAGGCTCCAGGCTCCGAGATGTCAGCACAGAGCCCGAAGCTCACGGACCACAAGATCATGACCTGAGCCGAAGTCGGACGCTTAACTGACTGAGCCACCCAGGCAACCCAACAAATTTTGATAACTTGTATTTTCATTTTCTTTTAGCTCAAAATACTTTTCTTCTTTAATGTATATTTAGAATCGTGTTGCTTAACCTTCACATATTTTGGGATTTTCTAGTTATCTTTCTGGTATTGATTTCTACTTTAATTCCATGGGATCTGAGGGCATACTTCATATGATTTCTATTCTTTTACATTTGTTGAGGTATGTCTTATAGCCCAAAAGTGTGAGGAGAAGAATGTGTATTCTGCTGTTATTGGGTAAAGTATTCTATAAATATCAATTAGATCCAGTCGACTGATGGTGCTGTTCAGTTCAACTATCTCCTTACTGATTTTCTGCCAAATGGATCTGTCAGTTTCTGATGGAGGGGTGTGAAATATCCAACTACGATAACGGATTTGCCCATTTCTCCTTGCAGTTCTGTTTTTTTATCTCACATATTTTGATGCTCTATATGATTTCCAAGATCTCTTTCAGATCTTACATTCAAGGATTCTGTGCTTTGGTCCAGCACATGCTCCCAGACCTCTCTAAAAGCAGCCACCATAGTCTCAGGCAAGGCTGCCCTAGAATGCCGTTCCTAAGTCTACACCCTGATTGCAATGCTTGGATGACCAAGCAGAAGCAGAGAACCTCACCCCAGGCTTCAGCTGTCTCCAAACAAGCTCAGCACTACCTTTCTTTAGAGCCATACCTATGTGTCTAAAGGGAAACGGGCCCACCACCGTGCCATAAAAATGACACTCCCAAAACTGAGGCACCTGGGTGGCTCAGTCTGTTAAGTGTCTGACTTCAGCTCAGGTCATGATCTCATGGTCTGTGAGTTTGAGCCCCACGTTGGGCTCTCTGCTAACAGCTCAAAGCCTGGAGCCTGCTTTGGATTCTGTGTCTCTCTCTCTCTCTCTGCCCCTCCCCCACTCATGCCTCTGTCTCTCCCTTTCTTTCAAAAGTAAATAAACATTAAAAAAAATTTTTTTAGCTACACTCCCAGAAGATTGCACTGAACTAAGAAGTTAGAGATTTTCTGCTGTAGATATCCTCTACTTTATAAGACCCCCAAAAATCCAGACTTAGAGAATCATAAAATTTAACTGGAAGGGAACTCAAACATCATCAGGTAAAATGATTTAATGGATGAGAAACAGATCCAGAGAAGTCACTTGCTGATGGTTATAGAGAATCAAACAGGTTAGGAGGCTGCATTATAAAGGATTTATCTTTAAAGAACTGATTTGAGGGGCGCCTGGGTGGCTCAGTCGGTTAAGCATCCGACTTCGACTCAGGTCACGATCTCGCGGTCTATGAGTTTGAGCCCAGCGTTGGGCTCTGGGCTGATGGCTCGGAGCCTGGAGCCTGCTTCCGATTCTGTGTCTCCCTCTCTCTCTGCCCCTCCCCCGTTCATGCTCTGTCTCTCTCTGTCTCAAAAATAAACAAACGTTAAAAAAAAATTAAAAAAAAAAAAGAACTGATTTGCCAAGGCATTGAAATATGATTCAATTTGTAGAAATATAACTTGCTTACAACTTTTTAGGGGCCCATAAACATGTCCCAGATTTTCCATAATAGTGCTGACTATAAATATTCCCCAGATCATAAGTTCTAATTTAAGAATCAAAATTTTCTCATGATAGCCTGCCTACCCCAAGGATTATGTAAAGGCCACCAGAATAGAATCTCTTGGTTTTCTCATAAAGACCATTCCGGACTGCCACAGCTGGAAGGAACCTAGAGATCACAGTGCAAGCTCCTTGTTTTAACGACGGAGAAACCAAGGCTCAGGGATGCGACCTAAAGTCACATATCAGGCTGGTAGTAGAGCTGAGGCCAGGATCTTGGCCTCTTGACTCCCAGTCACTACCCTTTCTCCTGCCCCCGGTTGATCCTGGGCCTCAGTGCCTGGCTATCTAGGCTCCCCACTCCTCCCTGCATGCCATTGGCTCCAGCTCTTGGCTAAGATCCTCCTGGGCCCCAGACCTACTTGCAGACGCTGCAGAAGATGGAGAAGAGCCCCAGGATCATGTTGGCCAGGGACAAGGCATTGGTAACGTCCTTCCAGGAGAACTCATTCATATAGAGATGGATCTGGTCGTTGGTCAGGAAGAACCTGGTGCACGGATCTGGGGCTCCGGGGAGAGGGATCAGGGGTTCCCAAGGTCAAAGTGTCCCAAAAGAGGCTCCCAGGACCAGGCAGCTCCTGTTCCCTGGACCTCATCCCAGAACTGTACCCTCCCAACACTGTTTCACTGACTAGAATGAGACAGGAGGTAGCTGGAGGACACCAGGAGGTAAAGACCAAGGTGCTAAAAATGGGTGTCTTGGGAAGGCACAACAGCAAAGCCCCCACGCCAGTACAGCCACAGTCTCCAACCCCTCCGTCTGCCCCCTTGCCTACAGTGCAGACCTCCCTCCAGCCCACGGTTGGTCCTCCTGGTACCCCCATGGCCCAGGGGATAAGGGATATGGGCCCTTCCCCTATCTGGGAGATGAGCCTTTTGTCATAGGTGAGCCCTTTAAAAAAAAAATTTACAAAGCTACTTTTCATATTTTTTATTCCTGTGAGGGGAGCCCCACAGGAATAAAAAATAACACTGGGAAAGGGCAAGCCCCTCACCCCCAGGAATGTTCCAGGGGGCGAGAGGCTACCCGAGGGGTAGAAAGCACGAAAGGGACCCACTGCAGAGTCAGCCTCCCTTGTCCTGCAGGCCTTGCTCTTTCCCTCGGAAGGACGGGGCTGCAGCGGGGGTGCCCCGAGGTCCTGGTTCTGACAAGCCCCAACCAGAACATCAGGCCCAGCTCCGACAGGGGAAGAGATGAGAGACAAGAGATGAATGCGTCCAGCACAAAACGGCGCACAAGGCACCTTTCACTCTGTTCTCTCTCCTGATCCTGACGACCTCAGGAGACGGTGCTGTCATTATTTGATGAATGCAAAATCTGAGCCTCAGAGAAATGGAGATATATTGGCTCAAATCACATCCTCAGTGAGTGAAAGGTAATCCTGCCTGCTGGATTCTAAGCCTGGTGTTTCCTCTGCCGGGGGCACAGGTCCGGAAGGAGGCGGTCTGTGGGGTAGGAGGCCAAGGAGGAGCTCAGGGGGCCAGCCCCATGGGGTGGTTTCATCCTGCCCAAGAGGAAGCAGCCCTGCCCCGGGCCCCTCAGAGCCCAGGGAATCAGCTGGCCCTGCCTGTTTCCATAGCCTGGCCGGCTCTATTTTGCCTCCAACACCAAACCTGCACTCCATACACATAAATGGCCTGTGGCACCAAGTTTCTCGGGGAGAAAGAGCCCCAGTGCTCCCTGAAACAGGGACGCCCCACTGGTCACCATAAACACGCTGCCCACAAACAGCAATCCTGCACCTGAATAAAATACGCAAGTTCCGAGGTGTTGTCGCAGCCGCTTTCTCGTTTCATCCTCACTCATTTTAGAGGTGAGGAAGCTGAGACTCCCTCTGCCCAGCCCCTGTCTCTGCCCCAGGCTGGACTTAAGACAAATTAGGGCCCATAAGCCCTGCCACCAAGATGTCAGAGGCCGGGAGGAGGGGGCTAGACTGGGAGTTTGGAACTGGGAGTGGATCAGGCAGCACTAAGGGGTTCACTGCTCCCCCAGGCAGGTCCCATTCACCAAGGCCATCAGGACTCCTCCTGAGACCCCTCAAAACCTAAGACAGAAGAACGCTGCCTAAGAAATCCGGGAGGGAAGGAGAGCCAAGGCCGGCTGCTCAGTCCCTCCTCAGGAACCCCTCCCTCCCGGTCTCTCCCGCGCCCCAGGGCTGACCCCAGCAAGACCAAACACCTCTGTCCCCAGCCCAGCTGCTGCCAGGGCAGCAACCCAGCATCTCTGCCTGTCAGGGGTAGTCAGCAGATGCCTGTGGGCATTTCTACCAATTGCCACGCACACCTCATCTGTACTCCTTGAGTTGTTTTTTTTTTGTCTTTTTGTTTTTAATTAATGATCGGTTATCTACTCTATCATCTCTTTCATGCATGAAGCATTTTCATGTCTATGGTTTCCATTGGCCCGTAAGGTCTGCCAAGTGACGGTTAATATCCATAGTTGCCAGATGAGGCAAGGAAGACTTAGAGAGGGGAAGAACCTTGCTCAAAGTCACACAGAAGTGGCAGGACAGGGCTTACAACTTCACCTTAGGTGTACCTTCCCCTCCACTCTGCACTCTGCTGTCTACCAACCAACAGGACTGAGCACTGTGCTCCCTGTAAGCTCAGACTGCACTAGGTGCTGGGGAACACCTTCACGGAGCATACAGTCTACCCAGGGACACAAGACTCACGCGTGCATGTGGGGACTCCCAGACTCTGTTCACGATGGTACCCCATCTTACAGATGAAGAATCTGAGGTTTCAAGACAGTCAAGTGACTTGGCCCCGTGAAATGGAGCCAGGACTTGAATTGGGCCTCCTCTTTCGCAATTAAATGCTATTTTCAACATAATGCACAGGTTCCGGGTGTAAAAGGATGTGGACCTGAGAGTAAGGGCTCTAGAAATCCAGACAAGAAAGGAGCAATCCATTCATTCAATAAACATTTGGTCATGAGCAAGAATGAGTGCCTGGTGCTTGGGACGTGGAGAAGATTAAGACCTGGCCTCGTGTCTCAAGGAGCTCAGGCCAGCAGAGGTGTTCAACCAAAAGGGGATTTGACCAGGCTGCCAGAGGAGCATGGAAGAGGGTCCAGCCTGACAGAGGGCTCAGACAAGACTTCTCTGAGGAGGGGTTCAGAGCTGAGGCGTTGCGCAGCATTGGCCTGCAGGACTAGATCGTGTCACTCCCGAACTTTGTGGAAGCCCGTCAGTGGCTCCCCATTCCCCCGGGATGGAGTCCACCTCCTTCCTTTGGCGTACAAGCCCTTATGATGAGGCTGGCTCAGCCCCCAGCCTCCTCTCTCCACTGCCCCTGGCTCCGGCCCTCCCTCTGCTCTCGGGTTGGCCGGTGGTCCTCTTTGGGAAGGCTGACTCTCCCCTGGAGTGAGTACTCCTCCTCCGCACTGCCACATGTCCGTGTGCTCACCGTGTGACACTCGGCACTCTACACTGGCACCGCCTCTCTTGTCTTCCTTGTCGACTGCAGGGCAAGCAACTTGAGTGCAGACTGAGGTCCCCTGTGCCCAGCATGAAGCCTGACAATAGAAGTTGTTCAAGGATCGTTAAATCGGTAGAATGTGTCACTCTGGTGCTTCCCCAGGATCCTCTCACTGCACCAAATCACATCTCTCCCCCGCACCAAAGCCCGTTCAGTCTGTCCTCCAAGAAGCCCTCTCAAATGAACTCTCAACAATCCAGACCCTCCAGACACCCAGCATCTACCTAATGCCTACAATCTTCCATTTACTCATTTTAAGATACATTGGTTGATGCCTGCTACCCCCAGGACTACGTTCTGGGGCAGAAAGAACAAGAGCCAGGCTGCATCGCCAGGAAGGAAGGGGTCTGGCAGGGGAGGTAGATTCGAGTAGGGGCAGTGCGGCAAGTGTTACGGCAGGCAAGGCGCTGTCCCATTTCTCTGGGCGCACAAGGGAACGCCAGACTGAGTCTGCAGTGGCAGTGGGGAAAGGTTTCTCTGACGCGGCGACGTTTAGGGAGGGGCTCCAAGGATGAAGGGGCAAAGGGGTAAAAGGTGCAATAGCACGATGAGGCTGGATCCCCGGGAGGGAGGGGGGGTGACCGGAGGCGGAGGCGTAGTGGGCAGGGAGGTCGCAGTTGAGGGTATGCCTGAATGACCTTGAGTAGCAGTGATGTGTCTGGGTCAGATATGGTCGGGAGTGGAGGGGAGAAAGTGAAGAAAAGGAAGGCAGCCCTGAGGCTGGTGAGAGAGGGCAGAGAAGTGAGCAAGCGGGAACTGCAGACGCGGGGACTGTGGGCAGGAGAGGGCAGAAGGGTACGGCCTGGCCCGAGGCTGCACAGCTTCTGTGTCTGGCATCCAGGGCACAAACTGCAGTGAGCATGCTCAGGTAGGGCTCTCCATCAGGCGCAGGGACTCCGGGGCGCAGCCACTCTAGTTAGACATGCTCCCCACCCCTCAGCCCTACAGACCACACCCCCAACAGATAGCCACGCCCCCTCTCCCAGTTCTTGGTCCTGTCCAGGCCCTGCCGGGGTCCCAGGAAGACACCCCCTCTGAGAAGATGGAAGAGATGGAGGCAGGCTGGGCTCTAGGGCAGCGCTTACCCACAGGGTCCTGGTCGCTGACAGTAATCTTGGGAGGGTCACGCACTTTGTCAGGATGCTTACCTGGGGACCAGACATTCCTGGGTGGGGTGAGGGCCGCACTCCTTCCCCGCTTCCTGTGTGGTGGGTGGAGGCCAACACAGGCCTGGGGGAGCCACGCAGGTCCCAAGCCTCTCACCCCTGGCTCTTAGCTCACAATCCAGGAGGGGCAAGGGAGGGGCAGCGGGGCTCTAGTTGGCTGGAAGAGGGGCCTCAATCTGCAGAGGAGCCCTAGGCCACCCTGTGGGCAACTTGGGGAATGGAGGGATCTAGGAGGAGGGGACTGGTCTCTCCAACGTGGCCAGCAAAGGAAGCCTTGAGAGGCAGAGACCAGAGTGCATGGTGCAGGAGAGGTGGGCTGGAAGGACTTTGGGGAAGACAGGGCTGTAAAAGGTTGCTGGGGTCCAGACTGTGACAGGTCCCTAGAGCAGGGCTCTTGCTGTTTGGTTCACTGCTGTATTTCTGTACCTGTAAGAACTGCTTTGGCATATGGTAAGTCACCCCATCCCACCCCGGTATTTGTCAGATGAATGGCAAGCTGAGTAATTTACACTGTCCTGAATGTTGGTTTAAGTATGGATGACATGGTCACTTTGGTTTAGAAATATGATTCTGGCAGCCAGCGTGGAAGAAGGGTCTGTAATACCACAGGACAGAATAGGCAGGCTGGAGCAAGGACGCATTCGCTGGACAGCAACGGAAGGGAATGGAAGTAGCCGGACTAGGAGCCATTGTGAAAAGAATCCCCAGGGTGTGGGAGAGGTGTGAGAGGGAGAAGGTAAGAGCCTCTCAGAGGTGTCTGGATTTGGCAACTGGATGAATAGTGCGCTACAGAAAGAAGCTTGTTAGTACTGGGTAGGTTCCCAGGCACAGGTTCTAACACCTGCCCCACATCCTCCCACCTGCCCTAACGCTGAGTCAGAGCAGCACTGGCTTCCAGGACCCCACGGGAGAAGATGCAAGGGAAGGGGCGGAGCTGCACGGTCCTGTGACACTGTTGTCTCTCCCAGCAACCTGGAGGGGGAAAGAGGAGCGTGTCCTGAGTGGCGACTAGCCTTTGGCCCTGTTCACGGTGCTTTACACACATTATCATCTTACCGGATTTTCTCAAATGCTCTTGACGTTAGCATTAGTGTTTCTACTCTCCAGAAGAGGAAATGGGGGATTCGTCGATTTTAATAATTAGTGGAAATGAGACCTGAACACAATCTAACACTAAAGTCGGACCTCAGGTGTCTGAGAAACTAAAAGAGAAAACCAGAATGGAGGCAACAAGTCCAAGAGTCAGGGCAGCTTCCTCCTATCCTTTGTTATTTACCTTAATTTGTCCATGCCACATGGACCATTAGTGGCAAATTACAAACTACAGCCTACTGGGGTGCCTGGGTGGCTCAGTCGGTTGAGCGGCTGACTCTTGATTTCAGCTCAGGTCATGATCCCAGGGTGGGGGGATTGAGCCCCACATCGGACTCTGTGCTAGGTGTGGAGCCTGCTTGCGATTCTTTCTCTCCCTCCTTCTGCTCCTCTCCCCCACTTGTGATTGCTCTCTCTCTCTCTCTCTCAAAAAAAGCCAAACAACAACAAAAACCACTACAGCATACTAATGGCAATGCTGGCTTTACCTCTTAACCAAGTTTATGTTGCAGCACTAACACTACCAGATGTGTAAATCTTACTTTGTATCCTGAACCTATTCCCTAATCTGTAAAATGGGATTCTTGTGTGGATTAAATGAGATTATATGAAGTGCTTAGCGCAGAGTAGAAGTTCAGTCATTATCAGTATTATTCTAAGCACACGATCATGCATCTGTCAGCCTGGACATCCCCAAGGCTTCCTTCTGAAGAGGGAGAGGAAGGAGGGATAGCCACAAAAGACACTTGTCCCCGTCTGTCAGAAGTTTCTAGCGTCCTTCTGTTCTGGAATCTCACAAGAAAGTAGAGAACAAGAACAGTAGACTGTCTACACTTGTATTAATATGGTAGCCACTAGCCACATATGGCCCTTAAGTGCCTAAAATGTGGCTAGTCTGAATTGAGATGTGCTATATGTGTAAAATACACACCACAGTTCAAATATTCAAATATATATATATGTATATATGAGTTATGAGTTGGAATACATATATGTGGAATATACATATGGAATATATATTCAAATAATACTAAAAAATTATTAGCGTGTTATTTCACATATAACACACTAATAATTATTTAGTATTATTTGAAGTGTTAATATTTAGGATATACCGGGTGAGATAAAATGTATTATTAAAGTTAATATCACCTGCTTCTATTTTTTAATGTAGCTACTAAAAAATTTAAAACCATACATGTGACTCACGTTACATTTCTATTAGTGATGTTGACTTAGATCCTTTACAGGATCTAAGTAAGTACGCAGCTATAGATGTCCATCCATTCGTACATTATTAGAGTATTTATTACATGCCAGGCACTATGTCAGGTGCAAGGGATATAGCAGCGAACAAGGCAGACAGTTTCTGTCCTCACAGAACTTAGATTCGAGTGTGGGCACAAATAATGTCTGCTCGTGATAAGTGCTATGGAAAACGAGGCAGGGCCAGAAGTTATCTTGACGTGAGACGAGTTGGTATCTCTGACAGGGGAATCAGTGCAGTGCTACTTGAGCAGGGACCTAAATGGTGAGAAGCCACAAACCATGCAAAGACCTTGGGGGAAATGTTCCAGGCAGGTGGAACAGCAAATGTATAGCCTTTGAAGCAGAAATGAGCTTGATTTGTTAAAGGGACAAGGTCAGCAGGAACGTGGCAAGACCACACGGAATCCTGGAAAAAAGCTTGGGCTCTAGTCTAAGTGTAATGAGAAATTCTTGAATCATCTTTATAGAGAAGTGTTGGGACCCAATTTGTATTTTTAAAGGACAACGCTACCGGGGCACCTGGGTGGTTCAGCCGGTTAAGCGTCCAACTCTTGATCTGGGCTCCAGTCATGATCTCACGGTTGGTGAGATCAAGCCCCACATTGGGCTCTGTGCTGACAGCATGGAGCCTGCTTGGGATCTCTCTCTCCACCTCTCTCTACCCCTCCCCACTCAGGCTCTTTCTCTCTCAAAATAAATAAGTAAACCTTTAAAAATAACAATAATAAAGGACAATGCTACCAGTCTCTGTGGAGCTAGCCAGAAGCACCGTGAGAACCGGGGCAGGGAGGTTTGCTGGGAAGTCACTGCATCAGTCCAGGCCAGAGACACCGCGGTGGTCTGGCCCTAGGGGTACGGGTGGAAGTGGTGAGAAGCAGTCAGATGTGGGATATATTCTGAAGACAGCTGAGAAGACCTGCTGACTGGCACAGGAAGAACAAACAGAATCGAGGATGATTTAGATTTCTGGCCTCCAAAACAGTGAGCTAGGTGTTGATGGCAGTGGAGAGGACTGGCAATGAAACATGCTTGGGGCAGAACTCCAGACTCATTTTGGACATGTTAGGTTTATCGTGACGTCAAGTGAGGCTGTTGGGTAAGTCAGTCTGCATGAAGCTCAGGAGAGAGCAGGGTTGGAGACATGTAAGTGCGTCAACAGCATATGGGGGGTATGTAATCCGTGGGAATGGGTTAGATCACCTAATAGAAAAGGGGGCTAAGGAATAGGCCCCAGAGCAATCCAAAAGCTAGATGTCAGGAGACAGAAAAGGTGTAGTCAGTGAGGTTGGAAAAAAGCAGGAGATGGTAATATTCCAAATCAAAATGAAGACAAAAGCTTTCAACTAGAGGCTGGTCCACTGAATCAAAGGTACTTTAGAAATAATCACTCCAGGCACTTAGCAGCTCCTTCCTCCCAATCTCCAGCTCTTTAAGGGGATGAACCCTATCTTGTGCCTGGGGGGTTTGCACAGGCTTTTAGTGCCAGGAACATGGGCTCCACTGCTTATGAGTTATGTCCTTAGGTAAGTTACTTAACTTCTCCGGGCCGTGATATACATGCCCTGTGTGCTCATCACTACACATCCCAGTGAACTACTCCTATGGTATCCCATATGCACATCTTCCTCCATCGCTTTGGTATTTAACTTTCTTACACCTCTATGTCAGGATCCTCTAGGGCTGGTTATGCTCAGACTTGAATCCAACAGGACGGTTTGAGTCTGAGCCATACCACTCTCTATCACTATAACCATGGGCCTGTTGCTTAATCTTTGAGCAGATGTTTCCATTTTCTAAAACAGGAATACAATATACCTCATAGACAGTTGGTTATATGAAAATTCAATCAGGTAATGGATATGCTTGGCAGAATAAAAGCTCACTAAGCAGTATTTGTCATCTTTGCATCTACGATACCAATACTCCCAATACTGGTGGACTGACTGATAACTTGAGAAGGTTAAGACCCAGCAAACCTCCTTCCAGACACCTAGGGTGGAGAGAGACAAGTACAGTCAGGTGCTATTCACACCTAGTGAACCTGGACAGGACCAGCATGGTGGATTAATAAAGCAAACACAGATTGCTCATTATTCTGGGAAATATCAGGATGTCTTCCACTTCCGTATTTTGTTGCGTGGATCCCCAACGTCCGTATCAGCATTCAAGCCAGAAATTCAAGCATTACCTAAGACTTTCTTCTCACTCATCCCCCGACGTCTTATTATTTAACAAGCTGCAATCTATTGTACCTTCAAAATGCCAAGCTTTATCAAATCCAAGACCCCAACCATTGTGAGACACGGCATTATGTTATGCAGCTCTGAGAAAGGACAAAGTGCTGCCACTTAAACTACGACGTGCCACTGACTTTTAGAAGCATCCGAGTTTCAGAGATATTAAAACGTGGGGGAAGAAAAGCACACCTTACAACTGATGAAATTATATACCTCATTCCATCACTGCTACCTTAGTTCAGGCCTCCGTCCTCTCTTGCCTGGACTAGGGATGGAAGCTCCTGATGGTCTTCCCTCCACTCATCTTCTAATGCCCAGATTTCTAAAAGGCCAACATTGCCAGCTACGTACCCCCAAATCTTTCAATTAACCCTTTTCCCATAGCCCCTGGCCCACATTCTTCACTTTAAACTGGCTGAAATTTTCCAAATGTCACATTGCTTCTAGTCTGGAATTGCTTTTCTTCCCCTTCTTCATCTACTTATCTCTTAGCTACTAGAAGTAAGAGTTTTCTAGGGGCACCTGGGTGGCTCAGTCAGTTGAGCCTCCGACTCTTGATTTCAGCTCAGGTCATGATCTCAAGGTTGTAGGATCAAGCCCACGTCGGGGGCTCAGCATGGAGCCTGCTTAAGATTCTCTCTCTTCTTCCCCCTCCACCCCCTGCGCTCTCTCTCTCTCTCCTCTCTCTCTCCCCCTCTCTCTGAAGAAGGAGGAGGAGGAGGAGGAGGAGAAAGAGTTTTCTAGCCAGGTCGTACCTCACTCTAGCCCTCCTGACTGCCAGGACTAGTTTGGTGGACATGGCTTGTTAAAATGGATGTCCCTTTCTTCACTCACAAACAAACATCCAAAAATGAACCCTACTCCAAATTCCAGACATCTTTCTCTAGAGGACAGGTGAGAGTGTCCAAACAAGCTCTAACTCTTGTTTTTCAACACATAAGCTGGTGTCTGCTCTTCCACAAAGTCTTCCTAAATTCTCCAAGCCGTTAGGTATCCTTCCGTGGTGCTCCATATCCTACATGCCACTATCATAGTCTTTTTTATACCACACTGTAATTGTTGATTTGGTTCCTCCCCTACTAGACTGTGAGCTTCTTGGGAATAGGTGCCTGTTTTATTCAGCTGTGTTATTCTCCAGAGCATGGAACCTAGAAGGCACTTAATACTTCTAAAATCGTTGAATGGGTAGATGGTTGGGTGAATGAAAAGTGGTTACTGTATATAACCAAGGGGTCCTAGATCCCCACTCAGAGGTGCTACCTCCAAAGTCATTTCACATTGCCACTGACTCCCGAAGTTTGGTAATTGGCAGAAGTACCAAAGAGCAATGGCACTACCTGGTGGTCAGTGCAGGGAACGCACCTTATTGAACAGAAGAACTTTTTTTAACCACTGCTCTCTTTTTTGCTCTAGAGTGGTTAGGAAATGTAAAGAGTGAGGGAGATTTGGATTTTAAAAAGAGCAAGCTGATGATTTTTTGAAGAATGGATTGGAGAAGGGATACACGAGGAAGCAGGGATGCTAGCTGGGGAAGTTATTTGTCAGAGCAGAGTCCAGTTCCCATCGTGACTTTACCACTACCATGCTTAACCACTTGTAATACTGCCTCTTTTACCCAAGAACCTTCTTTTCTCCCTCTCAGCTAAGCACTGTGGCAGAGATTCTAAGATCTGCTTGATGATTTCTGCCTTCTGGTATTCACGCCTTCATTTAATTCCCTCCTTTGAGTGTGGGCTTGCCTAGGACTTGCTTCCAATGGACAGAATACAGCAAAAGCATGAGATGTCGCTCCCGTGATTAGAATACACAAAGCTGTAACTTCCATCCTGCTGGCAGACTCATCCTTGTTGGCTTTGATAAGGAAAGTTGCCATGTTGGGGAGACCCATGTGGCAAGGAACTGAAGTCAGTTTCTGGTTAATAGTCTATTGGTAAACAGAATTAACAATGTTAGTCCAACAGGAGGAATTAAAATTGGGCCAAATTTTAAGTTAGCTTGGAAACAGACCCTTCTCCAGCCTTCAGATGAGAACCCAGTCCTGGCCAATAATCAGAATGCAGCCTGTGAAAAACCTTGAAGCAGAGGGCCCAGGTTAAGTGTGCCTGAACTCCTGACCCATAGAAACTATGAAATCATAAATGTGTGTTGTTTTAAGCCACTAAGTTTCTGGTAATTTATGCAGCAACAGATAACTAATAAACACCTACTCAGAATGTGTCATTACCATGCAGGTCAGGACCTTTTGAAAACCTGGGAAACTTACATAACCAACTATTATACCACTAAAGTGTGTGTGTGTGTGTGTGTGTGTGTGTGTGTGTGTGTCCCCTACACCATCTCCATCAGAGGCTTTTGCAGCTGACCCCACAGAGCATCCCCCCATGAAACGAATGACCAAGTATCACCTGGGTGGCCCTGTCAGGTTCTAGCCCCATTCTGTGTGAGGCCTTCATGGACCATTTTACAGCTAACAAGAAATACACCTTATGAGGAAAGGCCATGAAAACTAGGATGGGGTTAGGATATTACCAAGCAGATCAGCACAAGAGACATCCATACCCAGAAAGGAACTTGGGCAACTGTGGTTACAGCAGACTGTGATAAGATATATGGCACTGAAGTACAGCCACACTGCATATGCTGTAAATTCAGTTAATTCCACTGAACACACGAGGTGAGGTAGAGTCCCACAAGAGTCTAGTCAGAATGAGAACTAGAGGAACTCAGCTAAAAAGCCTCTGCTAAATTATTGGGTAATTCAGGTCAAAATCAGTTTCAATCTGAATTAACTCATGATCAACAGGTTGGCTCTTTTTCTTGTTTCTCACCCACTGCCCCTCTTCCACAAGAGTTTGAGGTTGCCATTTAAATGGAGTTGGCCTGCTGCAGATGGCTAAACTCTGGAGCTCCTCTTCAGCAAAGCTACAGCACAGATCCATGTCCGCGGCAGCCTCCCACATCTCTTCCAAGTCTAGAATTCTGTGAGGTTACAGGTAGACCTTCCCCAAACCCGTCCATTGTTGCTGCCCCAGAATCTCCAGTCACTCAAAGTAGGCAGAAAGAGCAAAACAGGCAAGCCACACTTCCGCAAGAGTGCAAAAATACCAGAATCACACGCTGTCTAGTCCAGGCAAGCCGAGCTGTTCATCATCCTCCATTACGCAACATTCCTGTTCCCAGACGCATCTGAAGTTGGAGCTACACTAACTGCTCAACAGCCTCAACCCAATCTGTTTTAAGTTTCAAGTTTTTATTTAAATTCTAGTTAACATATCATGTAATATTGGTTTCAGAAGTAGAATTTAGTGATTCATCACTTACATAGAACACCCAGTGCTCATCACAAGTGCCCTCCTTAATCCCCATTATCCATCTAGCCCATCCCCAACCCACCTCCATGAACCCTCAGTTTGTTCCCTATTGTTAAAGTTTGTTTTATGGTTTGCCTCTCTCTCTGTCTCTTTCCCCGCTATGTTCAACCTCAACCCAATCTCAAACACTTCCAGTTACAAAAAGACTAAAAACAGTCCTCTCTGGAAAGTGCCTCGCCAACCTTTATGTGGGTACAAGACACCCCTCTTCCTCCAATGCTCTGACTTACGGGAGAACAGATGGAGATAAAGGAGAAGGAAAGTACACTGGCCAGTACTCTGAAAGTGACTGGTTGGGTCTGGTATGATTCATTACCATCGGAACTGAAAGTAATTACGACAGCATTTATATGCACACAGGGTCTCGTTTCAAGAAGTGCATGATTCCCCCACAAGACTTCAATTCTCATGCCCCCTCCCATCAACGCAGAAAATGAGGGCAACAAGGAGGTGACAGTGGTAAGTCCTTGCTGTGACAGCTGTTTGTCAGACACCTCTCTCAGTCAGTCAGTCCCTGGAAGGCGGGTTCAGTGCTTGGAGGCAGGGCCGCCGGCTGGCTTAGCAACCTGTCCACTATGCTGATTTTAGCATCATGCTTCTCAATATCCTCATACGGAGTCCAGGATAAGTCATGCTGGAGCTTGTAGGCGCCAAGGAAGTCATGTGGACAACTTGTCCCCCATTCCTAAAGAAGGCAAAGGAGTCAGTTCTCATCAGGGTAGAAGGTAAAGAAATTGAGCTTATTTCCTCATTTTCTAAAATGTCTATTTACTTATTTTGAGAGAGAGAGACAGAGAGCAAGCGGGGAAAGGGCACAGAGAGAGGGAGACAGATAATCCCAAGCAGGCTCCGGAGCCGTCAGTGCAGAGCCTGATGCAGGGCTTGAACCCACAAACAGTGAGATCATAACCTGAGCCAAAACCAAGAATCATTACCCCACTGAGCCACCGAGGCTCCCCTCATTTCCTCATTGTATGCCACAAATTTCTTTTTTGGGTTTTCACTTCAGACCAGTCAGAATCATCCTCACTGCATTACACATCAGATACCTCCCTTAACAGAGATAATGACTGTGAGATAATTTGTATTTGTCATGTATATTTTTTAAGAGTCATGCCAGGGCTCACGAAAACCTCCAATTTTCTAGAAGGCCATTTACAAACCCTTATGCCTACATCTTCACGCACATATGCCAAGAGTTTCTCAAAGACCAGAGTAGATTTCTGCGCAAAAATACATGTTCTTACCTTTGGAGAAATAATAGAAAAATACTGCTGACCACTCTCCCGTTTATAAAGGTAATAAATGTTGCCAGGTTTTTTTACTATATTACAAGCTACATGGTGCAAGTCGGCATCTCTGCGAGCATCTTCCAGTACCTAAGAACCACAGAGATGTAACAAATTAAGTATTGGACATAACAGGCACACTCAGTGATTATCCCAATCAATGCTTAGGAATTGCTCCCCCATAGCACACAGTCACTACTAGGACCCAGATGATTCTGAGGAGACAAAAATTAGACTATGCTACTAGACTGTAAAAATGCCTTTAGAAGAATTGCATTGGTGAACGTCACTGGCTTTGAGTGCCTTTTAAATTTCTTTCCTATTTTTCTGCAGTATGTACATTTCTTTTAAAACTGAGAACATGTTTTTCCCCTCAAAATGCTTTACTTCACTGAAACTGTCTCCCAGTGAAAAAGCTTACCTCATACCTAACTTCTTGGGCTTACTCTATTTTGCTCAACACTTCTATATTTCTAGGAGGTCCTGAAGACAAAATAGTTTAACGATTATAAGCAAGACAAAATAGTTTAACGATTATAAGCAAGACCAGGCAGACCTGTGAATTAAATGAGGAAAAGGAGTCCCTACCTAAAAGCTGTTACGTGTTACTCACCTTCCTGGCTTGTTCTTGTAAATGCTGGATTTGCTCAGCTATGACTGTTAGTTTGTTGGTGGCATTTGCTCGGATGAATTCGTCAGCCTACAGGTGAGACAAAACCAAACTGTGGGTGGAAAAAGGATAAGACTTCGACAATGTTCGTATTTAGAGCTCAGAGTGAAGAGTTACCTCAACATCCTCGTTTATGCCTTAAATACCCTTCCTAGCCTCAACACAGTCCTGGGAACTCGCACTCATCTCACCCAGTTCCCACCCAACTCAAATAGCACTGTTTATAAGAAGCTCACCCTGCCAGGACCCCACACAGCAGGACTAAGTCCTCCTTCTTTTCTACGTCCCAGAGCTTTCTACCCTCTGTAGTCCAGTCACTCTGCACTTCTTCAGTCCTGTAACATGGTCTACTCTCACATGCTAACACATGTACGGAATATGCCCTCTCCTCAACAGAAAATACTTCCCCTCTTACTCTTTGCCCAAATAAACACACTTATTTCTCAGGTCTCCATTTATTTTTCTCATGTTTAAATACTTCTGAGATCTGGGATGGGTCTTAAAATAAAAAGACACTTGTGATAAAGTTCTTATCACCTGTTATGTAGGAATCTAGCTATATATAGGAAGGACCTATTAATCTGACCGTTGCCTCAGCTGAATTATTTACATCATACCTAGTTATATTTTAACTTCTATTTGCCTTCCTAATTGTTACTTCAAATGCTTTCTTGTTTTTTTTTAAGTAGGCTCCAGGCCCAATGTGGGGCTCGAACTCACGACTGTGAAACCCAGAGTCACATGCTCTAACTACCCACTGAGCCTTTAAAGACTATACTAGGATGTAGATCTGAAACAATGTTATATTGTGCACATAAGACTTCTGTCTTGTGCTAGGAAGTGCAAATGAAGGCAATGGAAATTGTTTAAAATAAATCACTTTTTAAAACCAGAGAGACTGGTGTGACCAATGGGAAGGATTATCACTCAGGCATCAGAAATCTGTCAAAGACTTCCAGCTTACTATCAAGAAAACCTGATTAATGTCTAGGGGTATATGGCAAGTTAAGAAGAAGAAATTGTGAGATTAAACTCAAACTAAGAAATATCAAGAGGGTGCCTGGGTGGCTCAGGCGGTTAAGCGTCTGACTTTGGCTCAGGTCATGATCTCACAGTTCATGAGTCCGAGCCCCACGTCAGGTTCTGTGCTGACAAGTCAGAGCCTGGAGCCTGCTTAGGATTCTGTGCCTCCCTCCCTCTCTGCCCCTCCCCCGCTCACACTCTTGTCTCTGTCTCTCAAAAATACATAAACATTAAAAAAATTTTTTTTAGGGGCATCTGGATGGCTCAGTCAGTTAAGCCTCCAACTGAGGCTTCGTGGTTTCAAGCCCCATGTCGGGCTCTGTGCTGAAAGCTCAGAGCCTAGAGCCTGATCCCAATTCCATGTCTCCCTCTCTGCCCCTCCCCCCTCATGCTCTGTCTCAGTCTCTCAAAAATAGACATTAAAAAAATTTTTTTAATTTAAATTTATTACAAATATTTTGTAATATATTTAAAGATACATTATAATAATATAACATAATATTATATATGTAATTATATATTATCATAATTAATATATAATTATATACGTATATTATATATATTTAAATTTTATTTTAATAAAAATACAAAAAAGAAATATTAAGAGAATTTGCTGGTGAGTTGAGGAAGCTCAAGATAAAAGTCAGGTACAAGCCAGCATCACATGAGAAGAAAACAATGGAGTCAACAGAGTCAATCATTTATCTGCTCCACAAATAGAGATTGAGCAGCCACTGTGTATGAGATATCATGCCAGGCCCTGGACATACCAGAAACAGGAGAAAGAAGTCCCTGCCTCCATCAAGATTGCAGCCTAATGCACTGTCCTTCAGAATATGAAGTAAAATATGTAATTTTTTAATGTTTATTTATTTTGAAAGAAAGCACGAGTGGGAGAGAGGCAGAGAAAGCAAGAGAGAAAGAGAATCCCAAGCAGGCTCCACTGTCAGCACAAAACTCAATGAGGGGCTCAATCCCACAAACTGTGGGATCATGACCTGAGCCAAAACCAAGAGTCAGTTGCTTAATCAACTGAGCCACCCAGGTACCCCAAAGTAGTAAATTTTTAATTTTCTAGCAGCTGTGTTAAAAATAAAAATAAATTGGGGCACCTGTGTGGCGCAGTCGGTTAAGAGTCCGACTTCAGCCACATCATGATCTCGCGGTCCGTGAGTTCGAGCCCCGCGTCAGGCTGTGGTCTGTTGGCTCAGAGCCTGGAGCCTGTTTCCGATTCTGTGTCTCCCTCTCTCTCTGCCCCTCCCCCGTTCATGCTCTGTCTCTCTCTGTCCCAAAAATAAATAAACGTTGAAAAAAAAAAGTATAAAAAAATAATAATAAATAAGTAAAATTAATTATAATATTTTATTTAAACCAATACATCAAAAAACATTATTCCAACATGTAATCAGTATAAAAAATTTTAATGAGATACTTTACATTTCATACTAAGTATATACTTATATTTTACACTCATACTATCAATTGAGATACCAAATTATCGTGAGAAATACTCAATCTGGGGCACCTGGGTGGCTCAGTCAGTTAAGCATTTGACTTCGGCTCAGGTCATGATCTCACAGTTTGTGGGTTTGAGCCCCCTATCAGGCACTGTGCTGACAGCTCAGAGCTTGGAGCCTGCCTCAGAATCTGTGTCTCCCTCTCTCTGTGCCCCTCTCCTGCTCATGCATGCTCTCTCTCTCTCTCAAAAATAAACAAACATTAAAAAAAATTAAAAGAAATAATCAGTACTTAAACTTCATAAAATTTGCATTTAAAAGGGTCAGTTCACATACTCAGCTTGTTCCAAATACACTTCAAAAGTGTCCAATAATTGAATCAATTATCGCATTTTAAAATGTAAATTGTTAAAATTACATAAAATTTAAAATCCAGTTTCTCGGCTGCATTAACCATATAGCCCAAATGCTCAACAACCATATGTGGTTAGAGGCTACCATAATGCAGAACACAGCTCTGGTGAGAGATACAGACACCAACAAGAAAGACAATTAGAGCTAGTATTATGTGGACTCAGAATAATGATGTGCTATTATGAAGAAAATAACCAGAATTATGTGGTAGAAGCAGATCAGAGGTAACAAGTGAGTGGAGTAACTGGTTTAATAGGTAGTGGTAAGCACCGCAGGGACTGGCATGCATGAGCAGGCTAGATGCAAATTCAATTTATTTATTTATTTATTTTAATGTGGTTTTTTTTTTTTTAATGTTTATTTATTTTTAAGAGACAGAGACAGAGCGTGAGTCGGGGCAGAACAGGGAGAGAGAGGGAGACACAGAATCCAAAGCAGGCTCCAGGCTCTGAGCTGTCAGCACAGAGCCCGATGTGGGGGCTCGAACTCATGAACCAGGAGATCATGACCTGAGCTGAAGTCAGACACTTACCAATTGAGCCACCCATGTGCCCCTGTTTACCTTTTTGTTTGTTTGTTTTTTTTTATAGAGAGAGAGAGAGCATAAGCTGGGAAGGAGCAGAGAGAGAGGGGAACAGAGGATCTGAAGTGGGTTCTTTGCTGACACAGAGAGCCGGATGTGGGGCTCGAACTCACAAACCATGAGATCATGACCTGAGCCAAGGTCAGATGCTTAACTGACTGAGCCACCAGGTACCCATATTCAATTTAATAATACCATCATCTGGATGGAGTGGAGTATAACCTTCAGTAGACAAGAAGGCCTCACTGAAGATGTGACATTTGACTTGAGTCTGAAGAAAAGAAAGGGCCAGCCATGCAACAAAAACTGGAGAAGTTATGTCTGAAAGGCAGTTAGCGAGGGACAGTAGTTAATGAGTAGTCAGTAAGGGGGCAGGGACCAGATCATGCAAGGCCTTATAGCCCATGGTGAAAGTACTGCATTTTGTTCCAAGGACAGTGAGGCACCTGATGGCCAAAGAGAAAGCAGGTGGTTTCTAGAGCTAAGAGAGCTCTAGGTTAGGAGTGGCCTCATTATTAATCTTCTTCTTAAGGTGGTGGCAGCAAATCTGTTCCCTGTAAACAAAACAGTCTAATTCATGACAGAAATGAGAAGAGTACTTCTAATTACTAAACACTTCTAATTACTGGCCCCAATCATTCTGAGGCCCTTCACATATATTATCTAACTTAATTTTTAGAATACCTTATGAAGTTGGAGATGATGATTCAGTCTCATTTTAGGAATTATACCCAGAGAGGTAAAGCAACCTGTCCAAGGGTTAATAACAGCTAATAAATGGCAGTTGAAGATTTGAACACAGATCAGTCTGATTCCAAATTTCTGCCTTAATACCAGACCTCTAGAGCATTCTAAACACACATCAATACCAAAATGGCATGGCAGCAGTCAGTCCTGCTACAAAGTACATTTCAGGACACAAACAGTAAATATGCTTGATTCAATCTGTTTGTTTCTAGTGTTTTTATTCCAGCTGCTCAATATTGATAATATTGGAAAAAAGGAGGCAGCACCATAATGCATCCTCTGTATTTTACTAGATCATACGCTGAAGGGCAAAAACTGTGTTCCATCTTCTTTTTTTTTGTTTGTTTCAAGCCATTGTAATAAATATGATGGTCACTCAGTAAGCCATGAAAATGTTTGCCCAAGCTTTGGGCCTAGTTGCCTCCCTCCCAACAAGTGATCCAGTTAAACAGACACATGGTATTCTCCTAATCTATAAAAGTTATGCTTTGCTTCCCACCTCTCTAGAAAAGACAAGTCACTAAGTTTGAATCAAAAGCACTTTCCTAAGCATTTGAATACTTCTTAAATAAAAAAAAAACAAAACCTGAAGTACAGAGATGTTTATGTGAGGGAATTTGAGCACATTAATTATTAAATATTTTGAACAAAATAAAGACCTTTGAATATAACCAAAGCCAAATGTGATAGTGCACACAAGGGTGAGAGGAGTATCAGAAGCTTCAAAGCAGCAGGGCCCTTTATCTGTACATATTGAAGAGGGTTCTACAACTGGAAGTCTTGGTAAAAATTAGATGGAGGGGTACCTGGGTGGCTCAGTGGGTTAAACGACCAACTTCTGCTCAGGTCATGATCTCGCAGTCCGTGAGTTCGAGTCCTGGGTCGCGCTCTGTGCTGACAGCTCAGAGCCTGGAGCCTGTTTCAGGTTCTGTGTCTCCCTCTCTCTCCGACCCTCCCCCGTTCATGTTCTGTCTCTCTCTGTCTCAAAAATAAATAAACATTAAAAAAAATTATGAAAAAAAATTAGATGAAATTTGGTTTTTCGCAGCTTTAGATCTAGGAATTTTCCTAGTTGAGACCCTGCATTTTACCGATGAAGAAGCTGAAGTCCAGAGAAAAGTAATTTCCCTTAAGTTACAGTGCAAGTTATTATCAACAGTGGGATTAAGACGCACGTGTCAAAATTTCTGATGCTTCTTGTTATTTCACATTTCCTCCTTATTCTCTTGGCAATGAATGTGTAAGCACTGGGCTTAGGAATGTTGTGCCCAGTGAATGAGAACACAGGACAAAATTTAAGAGTCCCTGTCCTTCTAGTATACAGGTATGCTGTTTCGAAGGGACACATGCACCCCAATGTTTCTAGCAGCACTATCAACAATAACCAAAGTATGGAAAGAGCCCAAATGTCCATCGATCCATCGATGGATGAATGGATAAAGGAGATGTGGTGTGTGTATATATATACACACACACACACACACACACACACACACACACACACACAACGGAGTATTACTCGGCAATCAAAAAGAATGAAATCTTGCCATTTGCAACTACGTGGATGGAACGAGGGTATTATGCCAAGTGAAATTAGCCAGTCAGAGAAAGACAAATATCATATGACTTCACTCATATGAGGACTTTAAGATACAAAACAGATGAACATAAGGGAAGCAAAAATAACATAAAAACAGGGAGGGGCACAAAACATAAGAGACTCTTAAATATGGAGAACAAACAGAAGTTTACTGGAGGGTTTGTGGGAGGGGGGATGGGACTAAATGAGTAAAGGGCTTTAAGGAATCTACTCCTGAAATCATTGTTGCACTATATGCTAACTAACTTGGATGTAAATTTTAAAAATAAATTAAATGAAAATAAATTTCAAAAAGTCCCTGTCCTTCTAAAAGATGTTACGTTCTAAAAGCGTTCAGGGCACAGATAACGATCTAATGGGAAGCGGTTTAAAGTAAGTGGACTATGCATCCCTGCAGAATCCGTTAGGGTAATCTGACACTTGCATGGAAACTTCTCTTCACGAGTCAAATGGGAAGAATAACTTCTGTACTGCCTACCTTACAGGACTGTCCTGAGGGCCCAAATGAAATACTGAATATTCAAAGTGCTGTGCAAAACTTCCCACGAAATGAGATTATGGGCACTCATATTGCAGATGGAGCCTTTGGTCTCAGAAGCTCAGAGTGCGAGTCAGACTACCGACCCTCAATGACAATCAGTTTTCCCGAGTTGTAAAATGGAGACAAAAAGCAAATGGCTTTCGCTTTGGCTTTGGCTGTGAGGTCCCAGTCTCAAGATGCAGGGCCAAACGTGAACCAAAACGGTTCTTTACTTCCCCAACCGCGCCTCCTCACCTTCTGCACCTGCTCTGCGAGCGCCACGAGGTCTAAGGGGTCCCCGGCCCGGTGGGTGTGGTAGGGGCTCACTAGGGCCAGGCCTCCGGGGGTCGGGGTGAGCTCCACCAGGGCTCCTACGACACATACCCAGGAACACAGCCCGTGAGCGCCCGCCCTCGGCCTCCCGCGCAGCCCGGGAGACTAGCTGCTCCGTGAGGGCTTCTTTCCTCGCTCGGACTCCCGCCCTGCGTACCTCCCCGACCTGTAGCCGGCTGAACTCTTTGGTCTGCGGGGACTCCCCCCGACTGCCCCGGCGTCTCGGTGTCCCCCATGACAACAGCCAAACCTCCCTGCGTCCCCAGCGGCGGCCCGAGGCGGAAGAGCATGCGCATAGAGGCCTGTGGGCGGAGCTTCTGTGTTCCCTGGCCATTGGCCATCAGGGCTGAGGGGCACCGCCTGAGCCCGGAGGCGGGGCTCCAGCTGACGCCCTAGGCCCTGCTGAGGGGCGGGGTGCTGGCTTAGGGAAAGCCAAAAAGGGCAGTGCAACGTTCGTGGGCATGCGCCGCCGGGCTTGGGAGGCGGGGCTCCACTCAGGGAAGGGGCGGGGAGGGGAGGGACGTGGTGGGCGGGGCTCCTCGGGGGTGGGACTCCGGCCTCCGTGGCGGGTGGCAGGCTGTCCCGTTAGGTCTGAGGCGGCAATGGCTGCACGCGCTCTGAGGCTGCTGGCCGCACTGCTGGCGATTGCCGCCGCTGCCTCCCGGGCCGAGGTCGAGTCCGAGACGGGATGGGACATGCCTGCGCCTGATCTGCTCTTCGCGGAGGGGACCGCGGCCTACGCGCGCGGGGACTGGGCTGGGGTGGTCCTGAGCATGGAGCGGGCGCTTCGCTCGAGGGCCGCCCTGCGCGCCCTTCGCCTGCGCTGCCGCACCCGGTGTGCCGCCGACCTCCCGTGGGAGCTGGACCCCGACTCGTCCCCGAGCCTGGCGCAGGCCTCGGGCGCCGCCGCCCTGCACGACCTGCGCTTCTTTGGGGGCCTGCTGCGTCGTGCCGCCTGCCTGCGCCGCTGCCTCGGGCCGCCGGCCGCCCACTCACTCAGCGAGGAGCTGGAGTTGGAGTTCCGCAAGCGGAGCCCTTACAACTACCTGCAGGTCGCCTACTTCAAGGTGCAGACCTGTCCGGCCCTGGGCGGCAGGGATCCTTCTGGGCGTGGTTGCAGATGACCCGGGCGAACCTGGGGGGCCGGGGAAGTATCCGCGGAGAGGGAAGGTGGCCTCCTGGCCGGGGAGCTCTCCTCGGACCCAGGGAGAAGAGGGACCCTGCCGGAAGACCTGCTACGCCAGGTTCGCATAGGCAGATGGTAACCCCAAAGGTCCAGCGTGGGGTTAAGGCACGACCAAGCAAACCTTGGCCTTGTATTCCCCGGGAGGCCTCCTAGAGGGAACTAAAGCGGCAGCTTGGGTCTCTCATCCGAATTTCATTGTAAGTGTCCGAGTGAGAAGCTAGGACCTTTCTACAAGATCTTCCTTCCGGTTCGTTGTTCAGTGATGCTTTTCCTGCCACACGATTACTGCAGCTCTCTTTCAGGACGTGAGTTTGCCACGTCGCCAGTAGGGGCTGTCTAGCCACTAAGGCTGTGGGGGGACCCTCTGGCTATTGTCAGGTTTTCAAAGAAAATGAGTATTTTTAGGAATTCCAGAGTGGCTTAAGACCAAGTGTATACATGGATTTGGAGCGTCCCTGGCTTGCGTGGTGGTGGTGGTGGTGATGATAGCCAGCACATTGTTCCAGACACTATTTTAAGAACTTTGTGTTTATTGATTTATTTGCCCAGATCTTGTCAATATCCTGTAAGGTAGGTGCTATTATTAGACCCATTTTATTGGGGGGAAACAAAGAAGGAGGAGCCCTGGGGCATGTTTATTATATCCATAGTTTCACAGACCTTCAATTCCACCAAAGAGAGACTTAAGAGAACTGTGGAGACCAGACTTCCACCTCTCCACAAGCATTTTGCTTAACACAATTCTGTTCCCTTCCTCCTTGTTACTTGGGAAAGTACTGTATTTGAAGCCAAAATAAGTGGGTCATGTCTTTGGTCGTGTCACTTAACAGCACTTTCTAAAATTCTTTGACAAATGTTTCCTGAATACCTACTACATTCCAGTTGTTGTACAGGTCATTAAAATGCTTAACTTTACCTTGTTTTGTTTCCTATCGCTTCCCTATTAAGAATCACTATAGAAGAGGCTAAAAAAGGTATGTACATAGGGCTGTGGGAGCACAAAGGAGGGAGAACCTAGCTTTGTCTCAGAGAAACCGGGGAGACTGAAAGAAGAGTTGACAATTGAAGTCAGTCCTAAATCTCACTGGAGGAGAGGAAGAATGGCCATTCCAGGTAAAGTGAGGCCAGACTCAGAAGAGAATTCTGCAGGCTTCAGGAGCCAGTGTCAGGTTTTAGAATGCTATTTCTGGAAAGTGGAATAAGCCTTGGGAGAAGGAGAAAGAGGTGGCGGGGCTAACCATTAGGAGATGAGTGTGGGTTGTCCACACGAGAGAAGGAAATTAGGTGCCTTGGTGCTTAGTAAAGTAGGACTGGGGGTGGAGAGGGAAGATAAGAGAGAACGAGAAAATGCACGAGCAATGTAGAAAGATAACAGTGGGAGAATAAATCCATAAAGGGGACAGGCATGGGAGAATTTCTAATTGTACAATTAACAAAACAGGTACAGAGATGGCGATTATTGACCCTAGGTTACCTAGCTATTTTAGGGTCAGAGCCAGGGCCAACTCCTTATCTAATGTGCATTTACTAGTTCTGATGGTAAGAGGAAAAGGAAAAAATTTTTAGGATATTGATTATACCAGCTAACATTTATTGAGCGCTTCGTATGTGCCCAGCTCCATGTATTAGAAGCTGCATGTATATCACCTTGTGTAACATTCTCAACAACCCTGTGAGTTAGTGCTATCTGCAGATGACAGATTAGGGAACTGAATTTAGAGAGTAAACTTTAAGTGACTTATCTAAAGCCCCAGCAAGTGACTAATTAAACCTAGCTGTGTCACAGATCTGTCTGACACTTAAGCCCATGTTAATCATTAGATCATCAGTGATTTATTTTAGCTTCTACATAGGAAACTGTGTAACACTGATATGCTTGAGTCCATTGCTGTGGGCATTATTGTGGCATGTAGCACAATTTTTTCTCCTCAGGTTTCAATATAACCACTTGTTTTAACCTCATGAGTCCCAGGCTTTGAGTCAGAAGATGCCATGTCTGGATTTTGTAGAAGACCTTAGGATTTTTCAGTCACTCATCTTTTCCTTGAACGTGTCAAAAACACTTGATTATATTTTATGCAAAAAAAAGAAAAGTATCTTCTAGGGAAATCCTTAGACACGGCGTCATTGTTAACTGTTCTTTCTCCTCTACTACTAAATTCTTGAAGCGTTACACATTTTTCAGCTCAGTTGCCACATCTGAATCTTGAGAATATATTATTTGGGCAGTCAATCTGCCATAGCATTCCCCCCACAATATGACCTTTGTTTAAAAATAGAATGTTTAGCGGCGCCTGGGTGGCTCAGTTGGTTAAGTGTCTGACTTCAGCCCAGGTCATGATCTCGCAGTTCATGGGTTCAGGCCCCGTGTTGGGCTCTGTGCTGACAGCTCAGAGCCTGGAGCCTGCTTTAGATTCTGTGTCTCCCTCTCTCTCTGCCTCTCCCCTGCTTGTTCTCTGTCTCTATCTCTCAAAAATAAGTAAACATTAAACAATATATAGAAATTTAAAAAATTAAAAAAAAAATAAAAATAGAATGTTTACACTATTGAAGGTTTCACCTCCAATGATTTGGGGAACTGCTACGCCTGCTTTGAGAAAGGCTAATTCTGCCCAGGGCTCTGTGCTCCTAATTTCTGGTATGTAGTTCCTGTAATAGGTGTGTTTTCTGCGGCTGGCAAGGTCTAGAGCATACTGTTTGAGTGGATGGCTCAGGAAGGCTGGGATTTCCTGTTTACCGTGGACTGTGCATTTGGACACAAACCTTCAGGGCTTGGATGTGAGGATTATGTTCTTGTGCTTTATTCTTAGATAAACAAGCTGGAGAAAGCAGTAGCAGCTGCACATACCTTCTTCGTGGGCAATCCTGAACACATGGAGATGCGGCAGAACCTGGACTATTACCAAACCATGTCTGGGGTGAAGGAGGCTGACTTCAAGGATCTTGAGGCCAAACCCCATATGGTGAAAAAAACTTTGTCCCTCTCTCTCTCTCTATTTTTGTTATTTTTAATTTTTTTTTAATGTTTGTTTACTTTTGAGAGACAGAGCATGAACGGGGGAGGGGCAGAGAGAGAGAGGGGGAGACACAGAATCCGAAGCAGGCTCCAGGCTCCAAGCTGTGAGCACAGAGCCCGACGCGGGGCTCGAACCCACGAACCGTGAGATCATGACCTGAGCCGAAGTCGGATGCTTACCTGACGGAGAGCCACCGAGGCACCCCCCTCTCTCTTTTTTTATTAAAGTGACTTTTACTAGGCTTGTTTTCTGATTACAGAAGTAGTAAATGTTCATTGTACAACACTAGAAAAATGCAGATAAGTACAAAGGAGAAAGTAATCATCTATAATACTGCCATCTTAACAAAACCAGTAGTTCAGGGCACCTGGGTGGCTCAGTCGACTAAGCGTCCGACTTTGGCTCAGGTCATGATCTCACAGCTCATGGGTTTGATCTCACAGCTGTGCTGACAGCTTGGAGCCTGGAGCCTGCTTTGGATTCCGTGTCTCCATTTCTCTCTGCCCGTCCTTGCTCACATTCTTTTTCTCTCTCTCTCTCTGTCTCAAAAATAAATAAACATTAAAAAATTAAAAAAAAAAAAAAAAAGAAAACCAGTAGTTCATATTTTAGCCTATTTTTAAAGTCTTCTATATCTTAATTTTTTTTTAATGTTTATTTATTTATTTTGAAAGAGAAAGAGAGCACAAGTCAGAGAAGGACAGAAAGAGAGGGAGAGAGAGAATCCCAAGCAGGCTTCACACTGTCAGTACAGAGCCAGATCCAGGACTTGATCCCACAACCCATGAGATCAGGACCTGAGCCAAAACCAAGAGTTGGATGCTTAACCAACTCGGCCCCCAGGCGCCTCCACTATATCTTAATTTTTAAACCTAATTTGGTATCATGTTGTATTTTTCAGAATCCTTTTTGAACTAACACTATATCATGAGGCTTCTCTCATGGCTTCAGATTTTCTTTGAAAATACAATTTTTAATGGTTGCATGACAGTCCATTTTTTGCATAATTGTATTAATCTACCGTGTAGGTTTTTGCTTTCACTACAATAAGTGGTTCAGTGTTCCTTGATGATCTTATTCTA